GCCTGTCTTCTTGTAAATAGATCGATTTATAGAAATCTTCCACGTTGTCTCACAATTTGAACCAACCGCGGTCAAGGTTGAATATTTATTGTTGAATAGGTATTTGCGCTGACGCATTTAGTACTATTATGAACAGACAATAATGCCGATGTTCTTTTCTATTTGTAATTTGCAATATAATTTGGCGAAAATAAAGTGGAAGCTTTTATATTTGTACTTTTAGGAACTCAATCAAATAAGAAATGTATTCATTTTTCTCACCGTCCTCTTGAGATGCCAATTTGCGCATGCAAATTGCGTCATGTATGGCGTTTGCAACGACGAAGACCTATACTGTGCCACCCCGGGTCCACCTCGACGAAATACAGAAACTGATCTTCAGAAGGTTTGCGGGATATCGGGTGAAATGGCCTGCTGTGATTCCAAGCAGTTAGGAGTGCTTACAAGCAGCCTTCTCAAGCTTGCTATGCTTGTTAAGTAGTAAGCCTCATTGTCTATTATGTCTCGAAGGCTAGATTAATTCTGTGAATTTGAGTTGAACTTCTAACTTGATAAAAAATATTGGCCATAGGTCTTCACTGTTTTTGTGGCAAATGCATTTAATACTTATGCCTATTTGGGTAAAACTCTCTGTCATTAATCAGTTTTAGGGACTGACTGCTTGTTTTATTCGTTACTGCAGTCAAATATCTCGCATTCTTATGCTTTTAAGTCCAGGGGATGATTACTTATGCCAACCGTACTGAACTTTCTGTGGTAGCAGTCGTTAGTGCAAAGTATTATTACAAGAATAACAGCTCGCAACTTCAATAAAAGCCAGCAAAAGTGTTTGCTGAATTTTGACCGTATATGGAAGCTTATAACAAATTATGCAGGTAGATAGATAAAGACTAAAAGAAAGCAAGAAAGTGTAGTTTCAGCGGATCGATCGTTACTGTAAAATGGAAGTTGGAAATTTCGTTTCTTTTTAAAGTTAAGGGTATACAGTCCACATATGCAGTGGATTCGCGTTGTAAAGGTGGTTAAAGCTTTGGCCTGCCCCTTGCTGTCGCGAGTTTGAATACAATCAGAACTGTCAATGTTTTCACAGTTCGGTCAAACAACTTAGTGGAAATCTACCAAAGCACCAATAAGGTATATTTTAGTTTGAGTAAATTCAGAATGCCATCATTAGTTCGTTGAAATACTTGATCTACGAGTATTGTTTCTGTGCCAGTACTCTAATTTGAGGAATTTGACTGTTCACGTTGCTTTCTTTGTTCATTCGATTTTTAGCACAACCGACGATCCTAAATGCTATGACGGTCTTGTAAGAATACTTTGTGACCTGACATGCAGTACCACACAAATGAAATTTCTCAAAGTGACTTCGATTGGTGCAGGTAATACGGTTAAAGCCATCCAATACAACATATCGAAGGAGTATACACAGGCTACCTTCGATGCTTGCGCTGTAAGAAAACATTGTGAAATGTGTTTTAGTTAACATGCTCGTGCTTTTGAATTATTTAACCATCAGCTGTTACATTGTACAGGGAATAACATAAGGCGTTTTGTATATCTTCCCACTAAAGCATAACTCTCTTTTTGTAGTAGAGTAATTTATATGCCGAGGAGATGATGGCGAGCTAAAGAACAGTGTTTTGTTACTGGGCTCTGAAGAATATCCTATTTAGTGCAATGCAAAGTGTCCCAACACGCCTTAAACTGAAGTTTATATTCGTTTGCAGAAAAAATTCTTATCACCTTTTAAACACATGTTACTCTCCTGTTAACCTTAATCTGCTTGTACCATTTTACCTATTCGTTACTGTATTTGTCCATCAGAGAGCTTGTATGCACACTTCAAAGAGTAATCGTAAGGTCTTAGGATTTATATATCATGTCTAAAAACACTAAGTTCTAACTTTCAAATCGTCCTGTCAACGATACCAAACATAACTCAACTAATAAAACAGGAAGCCAAGCTACGCAAAATAATGAGTTATTTGTTTTAACGTCACCGATTCAAAGAAACGATGTTATAAGTTTATCTTGTTTTTTCCTGAAAATTTTCATTCCTGCAGGCGGTTTCTGAGCTTTTAAAGTTATATATACGTATTTTAAACCACGAAATATGAATGGCTAATGTGAAGTTAAATAGTTCAAATCATAATAAAATAAGCTTCTTTCTACGAACTTTATAAAATAACAACATCTAATAAACGATTTGGTTATTTTAAAATCACAATGAATGTGGAATATAGTCAATGAGAGTGCATTATTGGCGACTGTAAATAATATAGTAGCAACTCCGCTCCGGGTCTTAAGCATATAAACCTGTAATAAATGATATCATAAAATGGTATAAAACTATTTTGCGTATGTTCAAAAACCCTTTCAAGGTTCTTTTTGCCTACTTTTAGCAAATAGAAAGCAGTCTTTTTGGACAAGCTATCAGTTACATATGCGATAAACCAAACTGTGGAATGGAGGATTTTTTTCGGAGTTTTGGTAAAAGCACTGACAACGGCGGACAAGCTCCATATCAGATTGATTTTAACTTTATTGTTCCCGATACAATTTCTACGATCCGCACAACAACCGAAGTTTTAGCAACTGCCATTAAGAGTACGTCTATTTTTCCGGTCCACTCTAGGCCTGTTGTAAACTTGAACCCTTTGAAATTTGTTCACTTCAGGAATTTGACCGAATTGCCTTTAACTCTTACCGTCGCATCTCTTTAGCTAACTGTCTAAGCAATTTACGCGGGCTTCTGCAAAATTGTAGACCCTTTGAAACTAATTTAAATAATTGAAGTTGGGCATTTGGGATAAATAGAGAGCTTTATGATTTTAAGGGAGGAATTGGGTCACCAGACCTGCTATACAGATATTTTTTTTCATTTAATTTAAATCGAAGACGTCCATTGAAAAAATTCGATGAAAGTTCTCTGATCAAGCCTCAAACATTTCAAAACCCTAATTCCCTAAAAATTCACACAGAAAAGGTGCACGACATTTTCATCTTTTTGAATTCAAGAACGCAAGGAATGCTGGGCTTTCAATTATCATGGGGCCATGCGACGCCGCTTTCAATCGAACTGAGAGTCCTGTGTTCCTGAATCAAATTGTTGTGAGTTCAGCTACTTAACAATTCAGTGGCCTTCGGTAAAAATATACCAAGCTTGTTGAGAATTTAAGGTGACTGCTGCGTAAACATAGGAGATTACTCACTCGGCTTGTGATTCGAGGCATGAGCATTGGAAATAAACTTTCTAGAACGCGAAGCAACTATGCATAGTTTAGTACATTCTGATTGTTTCTTGTATGATCTTATCTGATCTTTTCTATCTGATCCTGATTTATCTTGCCTTTTCCTCAATGAGGCTGCCAAATTGGTCTGCTTGTTTTAATTCTTCTGCTTCACAAAAAATAGGCATACACCGCATGCTCTTCTACCACTTATCTTCAGGCGAACCTGCTCAGTCCGTTCAAAGTCCAGCCGTCAACTGGATTCGTGAACACGTGTGGTGGTTTTCAATGATCTTTGTCTTCTTGGGTCTCACACAAATATTTCTACTCAGTCTTCTTGTTATGTGGTGTCGTCAACGACAGGAGGATGAAACCTCTAGTGTCTACAAGGCATCACCTCCAATCAGTTGCTATTCAAAAATTGGGGCTACCATCCAGTATGGCATATCCTGGGTACGTTTAAAGTCTCCTCTGATTTGGATGCAATTGCATTTTTTACTACTTTTTCCTCAAAAGAATCTCATATTTTTCTTGATTTGCAGTATTTTACAAATGCTAACAGAGGATAAGTAGCCAATACTGAACCGTATTTGATTAAAGCATCCATTTGGTTATGTCATTGTTTGACACAGGGCGACGAAACTAACCCAACACATAATTAGCTGCTCACTTTTTAGGATTTCCAGTGGCTTATATCTTGACCTCAAGAGAGTTTCAGTTCCGCGATCATGAACACCACGCTTATGCAAAGAACTGGATTGCGAATTAAAGTTGACATATAACTTTTGCAAAAGTATGGAAGATGACCCTAGCCGTATCAAATCGGTACGAAGTCCGCAGTTTCGGCGATCACAACAATGCCAGCAGCTTCCACTAGGTGTAGGGGACTTAAACATTAATGATAATTGTAATATTCATTTCCTGACTTGGAATCATTAGCAAGCTCTGATCTTGTCGAAATACTTAATTTCAACTTTCTTAATGGATTTATCTTCTACGCTGTTTCCACGTGTGCAACTTTAAAAACGTGCTGTACATGTTAACTTTCTTACACTTTTTCTGACGGACTGACTTCTTAGTGGACGCTTACAGCATATTTGAGTATGGCATTAAGCTTTTGAGTCTACCACAAGCAGTTATAAAAGTGAGGTAAAATGCTGTCAACGCTGTCAGTTAGGTTCTGCTCCTTTTATTTCGAAATTTACTCGAAGGAGGACATTTCTGATTATTCAAGCTTGTATTCTTGCAAAAGGCCTTTATTCAGTGGCTTAAAACTGAGATGATTTCACGGACTAAGGTGCATATTTCTCTTGATACCATTTTCTCGAGGAATCAGTCAGTCAGCCTTAGTCCAAATTAAGGGTCGGCCATGCCATCAGGGCATTGGCATTTAAAATATCAGCAGGACTGAAACCACACTTTTACTAATGAAAGAAGACTTGCACAAAAAGTATTAGTCAATTTAAAAGTCGTTTAAACTACAAAGTATGCAGTTAGTCAACTGGAGATAGGGTACGTAAACATACTTTAACGTCAAATCTCGGATAAGAAGTAGCTGTACGTCCATATAACGTATTCCTATACCCATCTTTCGTTGCATCAGCATTATTTGAAGTTTCCTACCGCTCCTCTGAATCAAGGAGAGAGGACAATTAAAAAATGGAAAATTGTTAACCAACTGCCTGCCACTGAACGGGTTTGATTAAATCTGATGAAATGACTGGGAAAATAAACACTGTATCAGCGCGTTGTGGGTCTGGTTAGCCGTGTCATCCATTCGGGGTGGCTTGACCACTGACCACTGCATTTCTAGTAAAACTTGAGATCGTTTTTTGTCTTGGACAGTGAACTCCAGAAAATGTACATCTGCATTTTCATATAAAGCGAGAACTTAATAGTGTTACCGTTCAATAGCAGAAGAGCAGTTTAGTGCAGGCTCAGGTCTCGTGAGCTTAGGATATGCGGGAGCGCTGGGATAGTAACTCCGCAGAGTTGTAGAATACGACCTAGTAATAGCAACTTTCCTATTTTTGTAAAAGTTTATTCTACAGGCTGCAGTTGATACGACCTTTAATATCTTTTACTTTAGTTTTTCCAGCGTCAGGGAGCTCTTGTGGCTCGATTCCCTCTTCTTACACTGGCGGCAGTCTGTGTAGTTTTGACAGTGCTCTTCTGTGGATTCACCCGTTTTCGCGTGACAACAGATCCCATAGAGTTGTGGAGTGATCCAAGCTCGCGAGCACGCCTTGAAAAGGATTACTTTGATAAACAGTTCGGGTAAGTTTCTCTTTTCGCCTTATTTCTGACTATTTATAGCCCTCACTACCCCACTGCTGTCCTCTTAGTTGTTTTCCTACGCATTGCATTCACAATGGTGATAATTAGGACAGTTCTGACCGCTTGATCCCTTTTACGCCTGCTTTATTTGAACGCAGACGCCGGTTTTTCTACACTCCTTTGGTTAAAAGATTCTCATAAAATTTGAATTGCGTTAAAGATGGAAAATCCCGTCCTATTTGCATGAGGAAAACTATAAGACATTATGTTTGGCCGCTAGGATTAGGAAAATAAAATGTCGTCATCTTACTAGCCTAGGAGTGTGGCGTCACCTACATGGCACAAATAACACATATATCTGATTTTCCCGCAAAGAGGTTGAGATTTCTAGAGCGTAAGCATTATCTTGATTCTTTTCTGTTACGGCAGAAACGCTGTGAGCAGTGACGTATATAACAGTGAAAAGATTAAGACTTACTAAGTGTCATACATCGGAGCCGATAAACTTGACTATCTGGCAACGAAATTATTCAGAGATGAAGTCGTTGAACGAACATCCGAGAGGTCGGAAGAATTCCTGTTTTTCGCATTTTTCGATTACGCAAAACGTTTTATTGCGATAGCACATTAAAAGTTGAGATAGCTCTTCGTGTTGCTTAGTCAGCGCTAGTCTACCCTTACTCTTCAGGTGGTTCTAGTGGGATAGGATTTGCCGAAGATGGTTAAGCTTTAATTTTAGTCTCAAGTATGGTTCACTATTCGCTGCTGGCAGTCTGATACCATATGCGCAAAGACCGAATTCATTGTTGAAATGGAAGACAAACTCCGTCAATTCGTCAGGGGCTCTGGATCATGGTGAATACTGCTGTCGACCAAAGTTTTAGCTTTCCACCCATCAGTTCTAATAGCATTCCCATTCCGTGGCTTATTTGCTGCCGTGAATGTGACCATAACCATGGGCGACGTATTGTTTTGGTGTCGTAATCAACGTTATTCTAGGAAGCTCAATGGTACAAATTGCTCAGGTTTCAACGCGCTTGAAGAAACCTGTTCTCCTTCATGAGGCGTAGATAGTAAGCAGAGTTTACGCGGATTGGTAAAATAGAATTGCTAACGCACCACTGTCTGTCTGTAATGACTCAACACAAAACCTCGCCTGAGCCTACCTGACCTTGACCTACGTCGTGCCGACCTAACACCACTTTTCAAGGTTGAGTGACAAATGGGTTGACAGTACATAAAGGGATTCTCCATGGGGAAAACATCGTCGACTATGCCATAAAATGAAGTTTCAATTGAAATTCCTCACCACAGTAGTTCACTTCCATAGAAAATAAGGTCGCCGCTGACAGAACCAAACCTGTCTATTCATTATGCGTAAGCAGACGATCAAACAAGTTGGGCCAAGCATACCTCCTATGAACTTTGAAAGCCATAGATGCAGCTGCGAAGGTAGGTTATGTGCAAGTTTAAACGGAGTTGTCAAAGACGCCTCCCCAAAAGACTACTTTCTTGCTCACCGCCACCGGTTGCCTATCTCACATTGATATTAATACAGTTTAAAGCTAATTGAGCGTATTTTCTTTGTTGCCTGACTTGAGTAACTGTTCCTATCCGCTATTAATCTGATGAGTGTTTGATAGCGGTGAGAGCAGGATGGTGACTTATGCCTGGACACATGCAATGAAACAGACATAAGTGGTACATACTTAATTATCTATTCCCAAATCCACAGTGTTTGTTAAGCCAATTGAATGTTGGCGCTTACAGGTGTCTGGCAAAGCTACATAACTCCACTACACCTGTCGCAGGCGACTTGGTCCTTAATTTACCGGAACCAGGCCATATACGGAGTACTTACAATTTGATTTCGTATCTAACCGTTGCCGTCTGCTTCTGGCTGCCGAGCTGTATAAGCTATCGATCAGGCCGATATTCGAAAGAGCGTCTCAGGATTGAACCCTCCTAGGACCGCCTCATAGACTTCGATAACAAACAGCTCTTAGCTAAACTTTTCGCATTCTTATGAGAGGAATGGAAGCTTTTAACTTTTAGCCTGTGTAAATAGGAATACCTTTCTGCCATTAGTTTAGTGTTGGAAAGCAATCACTAACAATCCCGTAGTCTTGGTATTTTGGGAAGAAAAAATCACTCAACAGACGCTCATCACCCTGTGCGCCGTCAATTTAAAAAAGGAGTGGTAGTAACTTGGTTTTTAAGACCGTTGAGCTTAGAGGATTTGGCTGGATTGTCCTGGGCTCTGAATCCTATTAAAGGAATGTGGAATCATTCCAGCCGCGAAGTTCACTAATTCGACTCCCTTTATAGTTGTTCGATCCGGCCGATGCCTTCAAAAGAACATTGAGGCAGCTACGTCCGACAAGAATTTAGAAAAAACATATTCAAGATTTGTCAAATAGAGTGAAACAGTACACGAAAGAACATTGGCTTGTCTTAGCAGTTAAATTTATGCACGTGGAATCCAGTGATGAGTTATTTTGGTGTATTGGTTCAGTAATTCTTTTTAATTGGACAATGAGTTAAAGCATGTTGTGTTTTATATCTCTTATAGAATCTACGATAACCAAATTGTTGCTTGTTACGGCTTGTCGAGTACGGGTGAAGGAGGAGGAAGTTGTATGAGCAGTCAGCTTACCGTATCCGTACAGGTGGATCTCATGCAAGCAGTAGGTTGGGCAAGCAAATTTACCCAAGTGTAATTAAATTCCCGGCTTGCTGTGGACCTCATAGCACAATGGCAGAGCTTTGGCTTGCTCGACTCCCACCGAGGCCAGGAGTTTTCACAAATGAGTCAACTTACCTTATTTAAATCCCACCCTTGAGATTGGATATGACTAGATGATGAAGGCTAACAAGACAGAAATGGATATTTCGGTCTCAGTTTGATTTGTCGGATCCACTCCATCCTATCCTACTAGGCGCTATGTCAGTGCCTGCATGGACTCTAATTGTGAGTTCCAGGGCGAAACGGAACTTACTCATTCCACTATCAGATCGACGATGCCCATATGTTCCTACTTCTAGTGGGATAGGGTTTGCCGAAGTTTGTTAAGCTTGAATTTTAGTTTCCCATCTATTCCACTATTCGCTGCTGGCAGTCAAATACATACGTGACCACAACGGTTATGCTAGTTGTGCGCAAAGGCCGAATTCATCGTTGAAACGAGAGTCAAACTCCGTCAACGCATCACGGGGGGCTGTGTTGTAGTGGATACTGCTATCGGCTAAGGTTTTTGCTTTACATCCATCAGTTCTGATCGCATTCCCATTCCGTCGCTTATTTGCTATTGTGAACATGAACACAAACATAGTCGGCATATTGTTTTGCGATCGTTACCACCGTTATTCTAGGAGGCTCACTGTTATAAATTGCTTCGGTTTGAACGCGCTTGGAGAATGGCGCTTCCAGTATTTTCCTTTCCGATGTTGATAAAAGGAGAAAGGTATATCCATCTTTCCTTAATTTCAGTTACGCCTTCATGAAGCGTAGATAGTAAGCCGAAGTTACGCGGATTGGCTAGGTAATCTTGTTAACGTACCACTGTCTGTCTGTAATGACTCAATACAAAACCTCGCCTGAGCCTACCTGACCTTGACCTACGTCGTGCTGATCTAACACCACTTTTCAAAATTGGATGACAAATGGGTTGACAGTAACCAGTGGGATTTTCCATGGGAAAACATCGTCGACTATGCCACACAATGAACTTTCAATTGAA